GTCCGCCCCCCGCCCCTCCGCTGCCCGGGGCGCCCGGCCGGTTTCTTTCCCCATTCATCCCAAATCCCCGGGCAGCCGCCCCGCGCCGCCCGCCCTGCCGCCTCACGCATGGCTGAGATTTGTAGGAGCAAGCGGTTGTGGCACTGCAACAACAACGGTTGGAATTTTCCTGGCAGCAGGAAAAAACAAACAAAACAGCTGAGGCGGCTGTGCATTGGGCCCTATTGGGTCGTATCTGCTTCCGGGTTCCCAGCTGTAGGGACCAAGTGGAGAAGAAGGGGGAAAGAAAGAGATGGCACCACTGCACACCAGGGTTCCCGTGTCCAGCCGCACCGACCTGTTAGACTTCAGCTTTACTTACTGGTCTCGTACTCACTAAACTGCCTAATTGTTGCCGCAACAAAACAAGGCATCCATCACTGCCAATTATTTCCTATAGTTTGAGAAGGTGATTTAAGCCTAAGAGTGATCTTTATAAAAGTTAGCAAATAAAATACTTGATAATATTGATAGGCAGTGTGAGCTCATGAGCTGCCAGGAGCACTTTCTTGCTGCATTCAGTAAACTCAAACACCCAGCAGTCTCAGAAAGAGAAGGGATATTGCTAACCAATGATCCAGGCTTGTTAAATTTCAAGGAAGCTGGTATTGGTAATTTTCTTTAATTTTCACTACTGCATTAAGATTGGTTTTAATCTTTGAGAAGCTCACAGGAAAGTGATATAAAAATAACTATGCAAGGTTTGGGTAGGAAATCGCTTAATACAATGCTCTGGACCTTATCACATTGTTCTTGACCGGATAACTTCTGCAGAAAAGCTTCACATCTATGTGTGACTCGTGTTGTTGCTTTTTTCTCCCACGCTGATGAGTTTAGTGATACTGGTGTCACGTAAATGGTTTGGATCCAGCACTGTCACTGTGCCTCACTAAGTGTAAAAGTGTGCAAATACATGTTTACAACAGGTTCAAATGCAAACAAAGATCTAGCGTAATGACTCAAGGTGTACTTATGAGCTGCATTTCGGTCTCTGTTCCTTGGCTTTTCTGGCAAATGTATGGAAAACAAGGAGGCATATGCAATATGCAGTAAGAAGGAATTTTTCGGTTCCCCCGGAAATGGTCTTTCCCCAGGACTGCCTGACTCTGCTTTCTGCCAGCATGGCTGGAAAAACCAGTTCAAAAAACAAAAATAAGAGTGGAGAGCAATGGCCATAAACAGGGTGGAGATCTTGTATTCTCTTTTATGGAGATCTTGTATTCTCTTTTATATGTATAATATCCTTTGAAGGTGTATATATGCGTGTATATATATTTATATATTTTTTAAATCTGTATAGTTAAAAACCAGAGAATTACACTGTATGACATGAAATGTGTGTGTGTGTTTCCAGACTTTGGCGCAGGTGTAGTTCTTTATGGCACTTAGGAGCTTGATGCTATTGAGGAGATACTGTGAATTTATTGCTGTCTTTTAAGAATAAGTGGATGGGTTAAATTGTTCATTATTACAACTTCTTTGTATTAGAATAGCCTCTCATAACTTACTGCAGTACAGAGTGCACAAACATTGAACAAGCTGTAGACTCTCAAGGAGCTTGTAATCAAAATTATAGACACAGGATGACTGATGGATGAAAACATCTGGAGAGGACATCCCAGGAAACAAGCAAGGTTGTGGTGGGATCAAAAGTTTTAGTGCTGTGTTTTTGTACACTTTATTGGAAGGGAGTTTTAAGAACTGGTATGGAGAAGGATTATGAAGACATATCTTGCAATTCCACAGCAATTCTTCTGGGGTGCAAAGTGCAGCATAAAGGGAAACAGCCCAGCTTGTACACAGGGTTTTGGAAGAGGAAAGTTCTCAGTGAAGAAGTTTTCATGTTTGTCCATTGCAAAGAGTGGATTAACTCAGTTACATTTAGACTCTAGCCAATGTGTAATTTTATTGAAAAATGTAGGGTCAATTCAACATTTATTTTATAAGGATGTTCCTGTTTAAGCTTTGAGCATTTCTTTGGTTATTGTAGTGCTTTATATACAAAGTCTTTCCTGACCATGGCAAGGATGTTAATTATGTGTCTTTTGTCAGATGTTTTCACAATTGTACTTTGCATCTGAGAAAGCTCTCCAGTCTTTGCAACAAGACCGTGGACAACGGCCAGTTCGGCCTCATCTATTTTGCTTGTCTGGATGAGTTTGATTCTCAGGGTGTCCTTGTCCTTTTTCCTCTCTTCCTTTTATAAATTATTTCTAGCCTGATCTAAAGTTGTCATATCATTATTATATACATAACAATTTACATTTTCAAAGAAACAAAGGACAAGGAATCCTATTAATTGTCTTGTAATTTCATTGAAGTTTTAACAGGTATGTACTTCAAATATGTTACTTTCTTTCCAAGATAGGTATTGAAAATCATAATGATTTCATAGGAGCTATGAGAAAAGTCTTTATTTTATCCTCACATTTCTGTGATGTTTCTGAGGAATTTTTGTAAGTAACATTTCACAGATAGGCTGCTGGGATACAAAAAGGTCAGATGGACTCTAAATATTTTTGCACATTAGGACTGAGGTGTGAAAACTGTGGCTGCAGCCCTCGCGTGGCCGTGGGGTGAGGGTGGCAGGGAGGGGCAGCTGCACAGCTGAGATGTCAAGAAGGGAACCAGGCATTGTTAGTGGAGAGTGTACAACTCCTTTTTCCCATTTTCCTTCTGAAAAATGTGTGCCTGAGTGTCAATCCATATGAAGGAAACAGGTGTAGTGAAATGAGAAATCTGGGTGGCATTCATGGATATGCAAGATAAGTTGAAATGAAACAAAACCTGGAGGGTTTTGCAGATTAAGATATGGATCAGAATCTAGCTTTTTTTTTTTTCACAGTGGGCAGAGAAAGTATTCAGGTTTGACACATATAGAGAATTTAAACTGCGAACTCCAACAGGTTGTTTTGATGTAACCACATCTGTATAAGCAAAAAGACCCCACTGAATAAATAACTTGTTTGAAGAGTGTGCATACAAAAACCTGACAGGAGACTTTTGGTAAAAGTGAGTGCATAATATATATGCTTATTTGTCACTATTGAAGCAGTGACTCTTGACTTGTTCCATGAAAATGGATAATTAGATCCTGTTTCTGTGTATGGAAACACCCTTTGTCTCAGCTGCTTTTCTTGTAATTTTCTGCCCTGTGGAGTGTAAAATTCACTGTTTTCAGTGATCAATCAGTGTAAACAAATGTAAGCCATGGCTGAACATCTGGCTTTATTTTGCGAAATTATATCCAATGCTGTTGAATTTAAGTCAAAAGCATCTATGAAGGCTGGTTTTCTATGTGTCAGGATGAAAGCTGCTTAGAGAATCAGAGTAGACAGAGTAGACAATAAGTGTGTTCCGGTCAAAAACTGGTTGCAGAAATTATTTTAGGATTTTCTGGGTCTATTTTGGCCAAGCTAGCTTAGTGGTAATAGACATGTTTACAGTAGCTTTCAGCATAGCCTCTGATTCCTAATATGAGAAAGGAAGAAATAAAGTGCTCCCATGAGCCTCCTGAGTTACTGCTCTGATGATTTACAAGTTAGTGCTCAAATGGTCTCCATTGAGGGGTGAGAGAGTTTGCAGTTTAATACCAACAATGGGAATACAGTTCCTTGTGAGCAGATGGAGAGCATGGGGAATAGCAAAGGGGCTGGGCTCAGACATTTTTAGATATTTCTTTCTTCTTTTTCCCCATCAGAAGCCTGGAAATGTTTTCAGTGTGTATCCATAACTCATTCTTGTCTGTTTTCATTTTTTTTCCCCCAGATTTTGCTTCTCAGTGCAGTTTATAGGATGTATCAGCAGAGCTGTTGTTAATATGTCAGAATATGTTATGGAGTAAAACTCAGAATGACTCAGTGGGACCCAGAATTGAGTGCCAAAAGAAGTGATGATCTAGTGAAAAAAAGTCCCAGGCTGAAATTTGGGGGCTGACTGCATGAATGATACATTCTTCAATGTTTACAGCAGTACAGGGTCTGCTATAATCAAAGTTTCCTATGTGTTTAAGCTTGTAAAAGATTATAAGAAACACTAATGAGAAAATATTTAATACTGAAAATATTTAATACTGAGAAAGTATTTAAGACAGGTTCCTGCTAAGTAGGCCAGTTGGACATTGTAAAAGATTGGGAGAGGGATGCAGGGTATGGAGGGCACTTCAGCTGTGGATGGCAACTCTTGAGCCTGTTGGTGCTCCAAGTCTGCCAGAGCTGGGGGGGAAATCCATGTACCTTCACCTTGCAACATGGTGGTCAAAGCCAGCTGCTACTGTTGAGCTGACCAGTGGTAACTTGTCAAAATGTGGTAACCCAAGAATTTATGACTGTTGATTATTATAGGCAGAGAAAAGAAAGGCATTGAAGTTTGGTGTAGCATGAAACCGGGACCAGAATGCAGATCAGAACTTCAGAGCTTGTGCTGTTTGCCCATTGAAATGAAAAAAATATAAAAAGGGATGTGGAGGAGATGATATGATAACAGCTCTGGTGCTGTCAGGATGTGCAGGAAGGACCAGATGATTTCTCCATAAGCATCCAACAGTTGAACCAGACACTTGGAAAATCCTTGTACAAGCAGTAACTGTGTTTGACTGCTCTGTTGCAAATGTTCTGGGATAAGCTGTCAGTGCTGGAGGGCCCTGCTCTTTAGCTTGGGTCCCACTGTGTTTGCTGGAGATTGCTAGATGCTCTGGTTTAATTACAAAGCTGCTAATGGTTGTTTTACACTTAATTTGTTGGTGTGTCATTTTGCAGGATGCTGATGTCTGGTGGGAAGCAGGTGATGACTGGGGGTATAAAGCAGAGTGCAGTCATTAGTGGGTGACTTTTAGAAAAATGAAAATAAGACCCTTCAACTCTTCAGCAGCTGCCACAGGCTTATGTGTTCTGGACATTTAAAAAAAATCCCTGGAAATTTTTTTCTGAAGGTGCAGCTTTCTATCCATTCAGCAGCTGAATCAGATATATCTTAGAGATGTGTATGAAAACTGTCCATCTGGAATCTGACTCTAAATGTAATGATCATTTGATTTAGAGTATCGTAGTTAGTTTGCATATCTAAACCACGATTAAGTAGTTTAATGCCATTACATTTTCCAGATTATTCCTGCAACTTGCTGTTTAACAACTTTCTCTGTTGAAATCTCTTTGATCTTCTCACAGGTTTCTATCCT